AAGTCAAACTATTCCACTGCTTTCTATGAAAAATAAAATAAAACGAGAATATTGATTAAAATTAAATATTTTTGGTGAGTAGTGAAATAGAAAAAAAATTAGTGAATATTCAAAAATGCTAATTAATCAATTTAAATTATTTACGACGGGAGACCGTGTCAAATATCTATATAAGTCCATGGAGTATTTTTTTATTTTATTTTACTTTCTTTCTATAATAAAATGTCTAGTTAAAAACAAATTTCTGGCAAATTATTTAAATAATGGTCTCATGTTAAGCAATTTTATATACTGCATGTATATAAAGTACAATTATATATTTCAGTACTTAAAAACTAGCAATTCCGTATGTTTATTTATATAAAGGCTATTTTTATAGTTCTAAACTTTATAGCTGAACCCAAGTTTAATTTTAATATTTTTTTTATTTTTTTTTTATGTATCGGAGTATTTGCTCTTTGTCTAATTTTAAGTTTTTTTATAATTTTATATATATATATATTTTTGGAGGTTAATACATTTTAATTACTAGTGTACATTTTTATTTTTAAATTTAATTGCATAAATTAAGCATATTAACTTATCTCAAATATTAATAATTTATCAATAAGTCAGTGAGTGGCCTTCTTCCGTACTCGTTTCATAGAAACCCATTAGGTCAAAATGTACGACTGTACGACTCTATGCATTCAAATCTATTAAGCTACCCAATAAGTTGCTGTCGAAATCTCTGCTTATAGTATATATAAATAAGATTATATATATGTATATATATAAATTTATTATATATATTGTATATATGCATTTTAATTTTATTATAGCTGCTTTAATTAATTTTAAAATAATGTTATCTATTTTGTAATGTTTATTTGATATTTATATATATAATTATTTGTTTCTGATATAAATGTTTGTTATTAATTATAAATTTTATATATAATATATATATACTATATATATTTCCTTGTTTTAGTTCAGTTATTGTTGTTTTGTAAAGCTGCTTACACGGAACATTTTATCAGCGTCTAATTATATTACATAATTTAATTCTATTTTAATTTATATATAATACCTTAATTGTAATTTCTACATGTTTATTATATGTATACTGTATACTATATATATATATATATAAATTTTTTAAATTTTTTAATAGGCTCTACGTACTATTCGTAACAATTTGTTGTGGCCTATTTTTTGAATCATAAGTAATTATGCAATGTTTTTTATTTTATAAATGTATAAAATATTATTTATACATTTTTTTCTTCTGCTTTTGTAATGTAAATAATTTATAGTTTTATTTAAAGTAAATTAGAAATATTTTTGAAAACAATGAAAACATCTAAGAAAACATTTTCAATGAAATTCTGTCAATTAGCAACAAAATATATACACAAATATAATAAAAAAAAAATAATTAAAATATTTTGTTTTTAAAGTAATTTCAAAATTTAATTAGTCATAGTAAAGTTTAGATTATTGTCAAGTATTTAATTATAATTTAAAGTGGCTGACCTAAATATCTATAGTCGCATTAAATTTAAAAATTATATAAAACAACTCATAAATATTCAAAATATTATTAGAAGAAAAAAATTTGAAAACATTTAAAAAAATTTTAAAAAATTAATAAATATATACATAAAAACATGTTTGAAATACATAAATTTAAGTTTCAAGACTCTTAATGTGAATTGTTTATTTTTTTGTTTTTTGTTTTTTGTTTCTTTTCTGCTGATTTTATTTTTTAATATGCCTATTTTTTATAAATTGCTTCGCTTTATGTTAATTTTAAGAAAAAGCATTTTTTAGTTAATGAGTCTGAAAAGTACTTGAGCGAGCACAACGAAGTTGCCACATTTCAATTTTTTTTCATGTAATGTTAATAGTTGCTTTTTAAGAGGCTGTCAAGGTTAATGGTTGAACGCGATTTCTATCTTCATTTGCTTAATGACTAGTAGGTAAAGTACTCTAAAAGTATTAAGTATTTTTACTCGTATATTAAACTTCCACATAACAGATTACCACTTATTAATTTATATGAAACACCGAATCTGACTACGTTCGAATTGATAAATGTTAACAAAAATAATGTTTGAAACTACAAGTCAGTGACAGACAACTATTATAACTAGTTGTTGAGTACTGTAAGAAAATAGATGTGTCCTCATATGGAGGATGAATGTAAGAGATGATAATATTGATATTAGTAATGGACTTATGTGCTAGTATATAAGTATTAAAAATGTTGGTTAAATATATTAGTATCATTTAACTATAACAAAATATTTAACCGAGTTGGGCATGTATGACAATGATTTTAAAAGTGATGGTAAGTTATTTATAACAGAAGAATCTCCTAAAGTTTTACATATATGAATATAACACACAAGAGACAGTAAAGAATATAACAGAAGAGAGCTTCTTTACTAATTAACGATTAAGAAATTAAAATACTTATCAATTATATTTATAATAAATTATATAATTGATAATATAGGTACAATAATATAGGTAAACATTAAAATAAATAATATGAATCGCTTATATTATTTTCTTTTATATAATAATATTTGTCAAAATATAGTTTTGAACTATTATATGGGTAATTTTGAAAATAATTATAGTAATTTATGTAAAATCGGATTATTCATTTTAAAAATGTATATATTCGTATTAAAAAGTATCTCTGAATAAAAAAAACTTGAACAGTCATAAAAAGTGACACATGCAATAAATTATATCTTTAATAATCTGTAGAATGATAAATATATTCAAGATATAATCTGAAATTGTTGTTATTTTTTTTTTTTAATAAATTATAAGCTCAACCTTTATTATACTAGTTTATAAATATTTAACGCTGCAAGAAACTAGTAAATTTTTAATAAGCTATATAACCTTTTAAGATAAGAAAGATTATTATATAGAAAACATTAAAAAAGATTAAAATTTTTTTTTTACTAAACCTGAACCTTTTTTTGGAATATTCTTTTGAAACTATTTTTAACTGAACCTACACTTTGTATTGAGATTATTTTATTCCGCTTTCTTTGTATTTCAGTAATCTTATGTTTTTCTTATCTAAATACATATGTATATTTCTACTTATTTGCAAAAAAAAGGGTTCTAAATAACTTCACATCAGTTTTACAAGACAGGGAGGGAATATGAATAAGTCAGTAGCGATTAGTTGTTGGCAGGCACAAAACCCTTTTGTGGTCGTTTTTTGTATTGTGAAAAATGTATGCTTGTATGTAGTTATGTGGGTATATGTGTACATACATATATTAAAGTTATTTTTGAAATGTGGAAGAGTAACTTCTTTTTTAAAAATGATTTGAAAAATTTAACAACTTCAAACTTAAATAGTCGTTAATCTATATTTCCTTGACTCATTAGTTCTAAATTGAGTTTACGCATGGTAAGTTCCCAATTACAATTATAATTTGCATATTACGCTTCATTAATAACAACTAATAACTAACAAGTTTTTAATTGACTATTAACTCGTTCTTACGTTATAGCAGTAATTTTATTACTCTGCTTTTTTTTTAAAGCCTCTGTTTTCTTTCGTGCACAATATTTTATAATTTTTTTTTTGTTTATTCCTTTACCACTCACTATGTATTGGGAGCTCTACGAACTATTTCAATAAACAAAACAAAAACAAAAACAACAGCAAAGCAAACTAGTTGTAATAGTAAATTTATTTAAATTTAATTGTTTTTTTTTGTTTTGTTTTGTGAAAAAACAAGGCCTACAATAAAAGGCAACAATAAACATTAACGATTTAAACATAGGCATTTATTTAACCCTTTTTTCTTGCTCACTTTCACAACTATTTAAATGCTCTTCCTCTATTACAAAAACAAAATTATTTAGCAATTACATACACTTATAAAAAAAAACTAAATAAAACCAACTTGATGAAGCAGCATTAAAACAACAACATAAAAAGTTTTTTTTTCTGTTTAGCAAAAGAAATTAACGGCAACTTATTTTTTGGTACACTTGCATAGTAAAACAAAGGAAATTAGTACAAATTCCAAATGAAAAATATAATTTTTTTCCAAATAAAAATAAATTTAAACAAAAAGCATAATTACCCCATGAAGCACTGAATGAATTCATTATGCAATTAGTTCACACATAACACATAAATAATACATACTTTAAATGCTAGTTTAAATTATATATTTACAACAGAAAAATTACTTCTTTTAAATACATTTACATTTCGTTTTTTAGCATGTAACTAAATTAGCTGCCGTCGGCATATGCAACATTTTTCTTTCTCCTTTTCTTTCTACTACTTGGTTCATTTATTTAAAACACACTTTTTTAGTTGTTTGTTGTTTTTTACATTTTTTAACAACTCTTATTTCTTTCTACTAAACTAGAACACAGGCAGCTGCAAAACTATTTATGCATTTTTTGCGGTTTACTTCTTATTCGTGGTAGCAGCAATATTCCAAGAGCATAAATATGTATGTATGCATAAATACGTTTGTACGTATTTGCATAGTTAATATATACCAACAAAAACCATTAGAACAAAAGACTACACCACTACATCAACTTTACTTTACTTTATTTTTAACTTTGTCAAAAGCACTAAATTTTGTTGTTGGTTTTTTTTCTTTAATATTTAAACATTAAACATTTTTAGTGCAGCAGGAGTATGGCAAATTTTTTTTTTAATAATTAATTAATATTTTATTTTTGTGTACTTTATCTTATTATATTTTAGGTATGTAGGTTTAAATATACTGCGGCTAATATTTCTTTTGTTTTGTTTTTGTTTTATTTTTTTGTTGTAACTTTCCATTTTATTTTGCTTAAATTTTGCAATAATTTTGAATTTTCATATATTAATTTTTATTTTATTTCACTTATTTAATTTTGCATATAAGTATTTCAAATTTAATATTTATAAATTATTTAATAACAAATATATCACTACCAATTTTTTTTAGTTTTCATTTTGAGACTACATTTTCATTTTTCAATAATATTTTTTTAATTCTTTAAACTAATTTTTTTTTACTGTCTTCATAATTTTAACGTATAAATTCCTTTGCTGCTTGTAAGCGAAGCCTGTCTTGCACGAAGGCAAATAGTTTCCTTTTCTTTCTTTTCCCTTCAATTGAATTCAGTTTCAGTTTTCCGTTTCTTTTACTTCATACTTCATATAATTTATGTTTTTTTGTTTTGTTTCCTTGTTGTTGGAGTTCCTCATATGGAACAGGTCGGTCGCTACACAACGGCTCATGCAAATTTACAGCTAAACTATGTTCTTTTTGTTGCTTTGCAAGAAGGTGTGAGGTGTGAGTTGTGAGGGTTGTTGTTATTTATCTCACACTTCAGTATGCCAAGCAATTTTTATTTTATTTTTGTTTTTTAATAATAACAATATAAAGCATTTTTATCGCCAATTTGTGGGCGTTGCAGCCATGGCGGTTGCTGCTGCCGTTACTGCTGTAAATTGCGGAAATGTTTGACCTAGATTTGCCACAGATGAAGCTACCGCCAAATACGGATGCATGCGTTGAGAACGCAAGTATTGTCTGTATTTGCCACTTAACTTATCGTCCCGTCCATAGTGCGAGCTCATAGCTGCCGCAGCGGCTACAGCTGCCGAATGACTGTAGCCGTTCGTGTTGCTGTTGTTGTTATTAGTATTGTTGGTGCGATTACTGCTCGCACTTTGGCTCAATATCGGCGTGGTGTCAGGACCAGCCTGATAATTACTAGGAACTGTGGCCATCGGACTGCGATCAATCATGAGCGCCGATGTGGTTGAAGTCGTTGCAGCGGACGCAACAACAACACTTGTGGGATCCCACAGTGCGCCTGCAGGCAAGCAATGTTGCGCTTGCTGCTGCTGTTGCTGCTTACCGCTACTGCCGGTGTGTTGATGTGTGACACTGGGTACAGCTGCAGCTACAATATTGTTTGCATTGCTGCGATAAACTCCGCCCGATATCATCGCATCCCGCTTGCCCACCACCGCTGACGACATATTTTTACCGTACAACGTGGCGGCCGTTTGGGCTACTGCAGAGGTTGGTGGCGCCAACATTTGACTGGTGGTGTTGCCAATAGAGGGTGTCATGGAGGATCGCGCTGCAATTGCTGCAGCTGCTGCCAACTGATCCCATTGCGTGGCGTTTTGTACTAGCAGGTTTTGATGGCTCTGTGAGGCGACTGTGGTATGACTTTGGCTTGAACGTTGCTGCTGCTGTTGCTGCTGCGCTTGACTGTTGCTGACAATTGCAGTTGTGGTGCGACTTTGGTTACTGCGACTTTGTTGTTGGCTGTGTGTTTGATGATGCGACACAACAACAGGATAATGAGCTTGTTGCGACATCTGCGACATTTGCTGCTGTTGCAACTGCTGCTGCTGTTGTTGCTGATGTTGCTGCTGCTGTTGAGTTTGCGTTGACCTGAGTTGTTGTTGTGTTTGTTGGTGTAAATGTTGTTGGTATTGTGAAACTGCAACAACAGCAACATTTTGCCGATGTTGTTGTTGCTGCTGCTGTTGGTATTGTTGTTGTTGTTGCTGTTGTTGTGTAGTTTGCAATTGTTGTTGCTGTTGTATTACCTGAGATTGGCGTGCAGCACGGCGTGCGACAGTTGCAGCAGAATTTGTGGCACTACCAGACACCACTGAAGCTGCTGTAGCAACCGATGTTGCGTTTCCAAGATTCGAGACATTTTGCTGAGTACTTGTCAAGCCACTAGCCAACAGCGCTGCGTTGCTTCTGGCTGTTGCAGGCATATTATTGACAAATGGACTGCGACGTTGCGATTCCATTTTACGAAAATAACAGGGATGTATCATTAGTAATGGTTCAACACGCTGTCCCGCCGGTGGTTTGGGTTGATTTGGTAATTCATATTCTACGCTACAGTCTACGTGCAATGGAATGGAGTAGTCTTTTTGTGTTGTTGTGGTAGTCCCTGCGCTTACTGCTGACACTGCGGCAGCTATTGTCAACGAGCTAGCCGGCAATGCTGTAGCATTGTTACTGTTTATCGCTGCGGTGGAGGAGGAGGAGGAGTTACTGTTGCGATTTGTAACAGCACTACTGTTGGTGACTGAAGAAACATTTGAGGCGGCGGCGGCAACTATGCCAGTACCACTAGTAGCCGCCGCCGCCAGTGTTGACAGGCGGCTTGAAGACTGTTGCTGTGACGTAGCATGATGCTGTTGCTGCTGTTGTTGTTGGTGATGATGATGTTGGTGACTGCTGTGGTGTTGGTTTTGTTGTTGCTGCTGCTGCGAATGATGATGATGATGGTGATGATGTGTGGAATTGGTACTGTGTTGATATAGCTGCTGTGACTGTTGGTGCTGTTGATGGTGATGATGGTGGTGTTGTTGTTGATGATGCTGCTGTGCACTGAGTAATGCAGCTGTTGACATGCCATGTGACATGGACATGTCATAATTGGCATAGCAAGCAGCCATAGTCATGTTTCTGTTGGTTTTATTGTTGCCGTAAATTTGACGGAGGGGAGTAATTTTGATATATTGATATTGTTAATTTTGGTAAAAAAATTTCAATATTAGAATTTTTTGTTTTTATATATTAAAGCATTTTACACAATTTTTTTTTTTTTGCTAATTTTGTTCAACACAATTTTATTAATATACCTTTTTTTTAATAATTTCTCAAACAATAAAAAAAATTCACTAATTTCCTTTAAATATTTTTTTTATTATCTTTGCAAATTTTTTTATTGGCACTGGTAATCCAAGTTGTTGCTGTTGTTTATCGTTTTTTTATTTGTTTTTGCTTTTAATTTTGTTATGTATAAATTAATGCTTATACTTTTTGTATATACGTTTTAGTTATGTATGTATGTGGCTACGTTGAAGGTTAAATGTGATATCAGGAACGTTAATCCATATTTTTATTCATATATGTATGTATATATTTTTAATATTTTATTTTTTTATATGCTATATAATGCAGGTATATATATGTATATATATTTATTTTTTTTTATTTTTCGTTATTATTTTTTAGGCGTAGAATTCATTTTAGTATATATTCTATTACTATTTAATTAATTTTAGTTACTATTCAACCCGTATATAATATTTAATTGTAATATTTCATAACTTCTTTGTTTTATATTTTTATTAGTAATATTTGCATAATTATCCGTTACACTTTTTTTCATATAATTTATTAGAATGTTAATCAGTCTTTATTTATGAAGAAAAACCGAAAAAGGGCAACCGAAACTTTTAACTGCAGTTTTTCTTGTTTCTATTTTTTATTTGAAAAGTAAACTCAGTCTTTAGTAAACAAAAGTTTTTTGAATATTTCCGGTAAAGGGCTAAGTTAACAAACAACACACTGTTTCCTCTCGTAAATTCTAAAACGCGATTTTACTCCGTTTTGTCTGACCAGCCCAAGCGTATTGAAAAATTTTATTGCTCCAACTAATTCACTCATTTACTTCAGTAGTTTATGGCAGCAGAGTCGATCGTAGTTGTCTGAGACCGAAACATTTTTCTTTTTTATTGTTTTTTTTACTGTCTGCTTTTTCAGCTCAAAGAGTATTCCGTATTTAGAGCGCTCTCTTGCTATCTCTTTTGCGCTTACACAACGAACAACTGTGACGTAGCAGTTGTTTTTTTTATGGAATTTCTTTGAATGTCGCTTGTACTTTGCACGTTTCTTGTTACTTTGATATGCGCCGCAAAGAAAATATTCTCCTTATATATTGAAAGCAAACAATTATTATTGTTGCTATATTTATATGTAAGAATTTTTTTTTTTTGTCGTTCACCTTTCACAACACAATTACTGCACTTTAATGAAGTAATTTTCTTTTCTTCTTTTTTTTTAACTTTAAACAATTTTAATAAACTATTTATTTAGTATGGTTGCTTTTATTTTCGATATATTGTATCTTTGAGTTTTATCACAATTTGTTAATATTTTATTTGTTTTAAGTATGGTTCTTACAAAAATATATTATATTTTATTATTAGTTTGTTTGCTTATAAGAAATGAGCTCTACTCGCATTAACATGTCTACGCGTATTAAACGACCACACTAAACGAGCTCTCTCAACCGACTGTGCGCATCAAATTCAATGTTATCTCAACATGCCTTTACCTGCTGTTTACTGCATACAACAGCTGTTTTATTTTTGCGCTGAATTTATTGGAATTCAGCATATTACGCTCTTACAACCATTTTTTTTCTTTCAGCGCAGTCAAATAGTTTTTGTACTCAGCACATGGAGAATCCCTTGAGATTCTCAATTTTTGCCACCAATTGCATTCAATTATTTACTCTGTTTACACAACTACAATTACAAATTCAGCCATTACGGCGGCCATCTTTACATTGTTATTTGGGAAAATGAAATTTCATATTCATTATTACTTGGCTCTCTCACTCGCTCAATTCCTGTAGTAGAAAATTTTGTTGTTATGTTTACATTGTTGTTTCTGCATAAACATGTGCATATGATTTTGTATGTTTGTTTTGATATTGGCATTTCTTTCTATCGGACATATATCTTTTGCAGTCTTGCATATTTGAGTTAGGCAAAGTAATTCTAAAGCATTAACTTTAATTTGTTGTGTGCAGATTTTCTGAGGATTTATTTTTTATTTTTTTATTCTTTTATTTTTTGTTCTGTTTGGGTTAGTTTAGGTTTTTGGGAGTAATATCTACTTTCAATATAAATAACTTAAGTTCAATATGGCGTCCTAATTTAACAAAAAAAAAATAAAAAGAAAAAAGCTTTCATCATTTGGGTGTTACATTTCCGAATAGGAGACAGCAACATTAAAAAAGTTCGATGAGGAAAGAATGTATATAAAATTGCATTTATTGATAGAATTTTGGGATAAAATCAGAAACGACTATTGGCATGTAGTCGGGAAGGAATCTCGAAAAGAAATTTTTATTGTAGCAGAGACAGAATGCAAAAATTATGTAGATAGTAATAAACGAAGAAGTAATAGATAAATATGTAGGTAATAGAACAATTAAAATTCGATTCAGGTAAGAAGTATATTAGCTCTGCTTTGCATAAAAGGCCGTCACTCTAACCTAAATTAATTCGGAAATATATGAATAAATAAAAGTTTTTTAAGCTTTTCGAAAGTAAAGTACCGGAGATTTCAGTTTGAGTTTCTTTACTCCATTGATCAAAACTTTCAATTTCGTAATATCGTGATACCGAAAATGTATCACACAATGCATCTGAAACATTAATAATAAATTATATTGCTTTATAATTCAGCAATGTTATCTGCGAGTTCCAAAAAACTGACTAATACCGCCTGAACCCAATACTGCACATTTTACACATTTACTACAAAAAGCTTCATATGGTAATTGTCTGTAACAGCGTTAACTGCAACTAGATATCTCCTACTATCTCTATTTTGGTATCTAACCCAATTCTTGCGTTGTGAAAGAAGACTTCATCAATCAAAAACATTATATTTACATAAAAAGCTACACACTATCAACTTATAAAATCTGATATATAAACTACTATCCTAATCTTAGAAATTTGCGAAAATGGTTCTTAAAAAGATTTTGAGTTCTACATACAACGAGTTGTACGAGCTTTGTCAAGACATTGATATAATTCAGTGAATTTATATCCATTAGCTTTGCTGGTTTTGTTATATCGTGAGAAAGGATGATCACCTTCAACGAAAAAAAATATTTTGAAATGACAATTGGAGAAAGAGAACGTAGATATAGCCCGTATCATCCTCTTGAATGATTAAATTGAGACAACACTAACTATGCTTTACGTACGAAACTGGAGAAGGCACGTACGTAGCAGGACACTTGAAAAAAGTTACTTAATAAAAAGAAGACCTACTCTCAGTTTTTAGAGGTAAAATCAGATTTATTTAACTTGGAAAAAAATTAGAAGAATTAATTCAAACTTATGTGGATCTCTAAATGCGTTAGAGGAACATTTTTGTCCGATATGAATTAGTAGTTGACACGTGTATATTTATAAATTTTCAATAAAAAAGAAATAATTCTGCGATAACCTCGAACTGTTCACTTCAGCAATCATTGCTAACTATGCTATCAGGATGAAGTTAACATAAGCTATACTAAAAATCATCCTAAGTTCACCGCAATTTTAAAAATATTCGCGCCAACAAGAACTTAGACTTGCAGATAAATAAGAACATATGATATTATAAACAATTATAAGAGATATTTCGTGATTTAAAAATAGTATAGTTTTTATGCTTCTGAGCTTCTTATACTGTAACACAATGGATCAATTGGCTTTAGTGAAACCTTAGAATCATAGATGTGTCGATAGATGTGTCATAATACGAGGCAGATAAATTGCCGTAAAATGTTATATGAACGCAGATAGATATATATTTATTTAAAAAGGTATTGATATATGTATATATAACAAAAAAATAATAATTATTGTAAAATATTAATTTTTAAAAGAATAGTTTTTTACAGAGAATGTAACCTTATTTATAAATTGTCTTGTACGAAATATTTTTTCCAAAAAAGTACAAAAGTCATATTATTTTGATAGAAAACATATGAAAATTAAAAATAAAATACAAGTAAAATAAATATATACACATATGTATATGAAATCCAATAAATGATGTTAGTGTATTTGAAAAAAAAAACTGTTTTCTTGTTAAAATTTTTCGGCAAATTAAGTTTTACGGAACTATGGGATTATTAACAACTTATAAAAATTTGAATATAATTTATTTTCGAGAACTTTATACGATTAATATTTAATATTCCATTTTACAAGACTTCCAAAGAAAAACGCCGTTAATTAAAAAGAAAATCATACGGTGTTTAACTGATAAATAAATATTTTTTTCCGATCCGGCAATTATGTTATTTTTTCGACTTTGAGTTCAATTTCAATTCAAAGCCCTGATTTAAACCACCTTACCAATTTTTTATTTCTCTCAAATTTCTACTTTATTTGAAATATGAAAATTATTATTCATGAAAAACTAACTTTTGAATTGAATATTATAACTGTAATTATTAAAATTATTTTTAAAAATACACATAATAATTTTCACAATAAATGCCGACGGCTTTTTGCATTTAATTATATAAAAATTATAATGAAAAGCACATTTCAGCCTTTCATCAAACAACGAAGTGTGTCAATTTACGTTTATTTCCTTCAACCATGCACACAAGCACTCACAGCATCCAAGCCGTTACTAGTATTAATATGTCTACATCCTACAATTAGTATATACACGCTTCCGCACATACATACGAACACCTTTACATTCATGTACATATTTTAACCTTACTACGAAAACGTTTATTTTTACCTTCACAACAAAAAAAAACAAAAAACAAAAAACAAAAAAAAACTAACTTAAAGCTGTGCATAAACACACACATTAACGCACATACACAAATCAATGAATGCAAAAGCGTATATACGGAGTGAAACAGCTGTTTCATATCACAGCGACTTCAAAGCAGAAGCAATGCAAGAGCTTTAACAACGTCCGAAGGTGTATACGTTCCATGTGCAATACGACAGACAGCAGCACAGACGGCCACA